CTATTCACGGAGCAGCTGGAACATAAAGAAATCAAGCATCGTGCCTGTTTTCCAGCCGGCATAGCCGCGCAGCTTGCTCCATTGATGGCGAGATCTTTTCTTCGGATGCTTGCCTTGAGCCATACCAGCAATGGCATGATCTCTGTCAGTAAACCTGCTGGGGGTCTCTGGATTCCTGCAGCCCCCTTCGTGCCGCCTAGCTCTTCAGCCAGGCACGATACTCGAATCCTGAAAAGCTCCGAAACTCATTGTCAGTGCACAGCGCTCTGGACCAAGGCGCTGGTCGAGCACTGCAATCAAAGTACACGCAATAGCCGCGCTGACGGCCGTAGCCCGTCCAAGGCAATGACAGCGCGGAGCGAAAGACTGCAGGCCGAAATGGCCAAGCCAAAATGGCCGCTCGCGCCCCTCAGTTCAGACCTTCGCCTGAAGGGCACTCGAGAGGGGCGCGTCCGAGAGCCTGACATTCATCATCTCCAGCCCTCGGAGCGTCGCCGCCTGGTCGAGGAACTTCGTCCCCAGGTCCGCCGGGTTCGACTTCCCGGGAACCTTAGCCAGTTGAAACCGTCCGTCCTTGAGTGCCTTCTGCACCCACAGCGCCGGCGTCTCGAGGTGTCGGACTTTGCCGCAGCCTCGTCGTTGCATGATGCCAAGAGCAGCTGCCGAGTCGCTCCAGATGCGAAGGCTCACGTCCCTGCCTAGGCCCTGGCACAGCGACTGCATGCCGATGGCCCTGCTGGCCGCCCGCACACAGCCGTAGAACTCAGCCTCCCCCGAACTCATGGAGATGGGGATCTGAGTCGTCGATGCCGTAACGATCAGGTGCTGCCCATGTTTGATCACGACCGAACTGGTGCTCCTCCGCGTGATCGGGCAGCCTGCCCAATCGGTGCCCGAATAGATGTCCATCACTGTGGGTGCCCGCTGTCGGCCCCACTTCCAGATGGCCCGCGGCGCCCCGATCAAGAAGCGTCCAGCGCGCTTCAGAAGGCGGAGGTGTCGCTCTGTCGGCCTCTGCATGCCGCGAGCGCACTCCTTGGCCGCGAACTGCACCTCTGGCCGATCGAGCGCCAAGTAGCCCAGCCTCATGCACGCACTGCGGTACTCTGCCGCCTCGTGCTCGTTCAGCTCGCGCTCGACCTCAGGTGTAGGCTTCTGGCTCAGCCCTGGCGTGCTCAATGACTTCGTGGTGCGGGGGTCCATTCCAAGCTGCGCGTGCAAGATCTGCGCGTGCCTGGGATCCGCCTCGTACTCGATGGCCTCGCCCCCTTGGCACCATCGGTCTCGCCAGCGCATTACCCTGTTGAGGCACGTGATCTCATTTGCGTCGTTAGGCGCCGGCCCGAGCACGCCCCTGTCCTTCACGATGAACTTCGTCTTCAGGGCCTCGCAGATCGACTCCGTCCCGTCCCGAGAGCCCTCGAGCACGAAGTCGTCGCCGTGGTGGAAGAGGTCCTTGTGACAGGACACGCAAGGCGAGAAGGCCGACTGATCGCAGCCAGCACCGATGACCGTCTCGGCAGTCGCGAGCTCGAAGTTCTGGCCAGCGTCGCGCGTCCCGTAGAGCGCCATCCGCAAGAGCCCACACGCACCGATCTCCTGCGACATCGGATCCTCCTCTGGAAGCTTGATGTAGACCGTCCTCTTGATCTCACAGTGCGGGTGTGCCCGCGAGATGTCCAGGAAGCGCAGCACGCGGCCCTCGGACGGGTCGCTCGACATCACCATGCTGCAGATGAGCCGGAGGCGCTCTAGCGGCGGGGTCGCCGCAAACACCGCGCCGATGTCGTCCCCGGCGATGGTGCTCTGCGCCTTGGTCTCCTGCACGACGAGCCTGGATCTGTAATCCGGCCGGTCGGTGTCGCCCTTGTCGATATCAACCCAGCGCACACTGAGTGGCCTCCGTCCAAGCTCGCGCTGACAGTCCTCCTCCCTCGCGTAGACCCACACGCCAAGCTGCGCCATGAAATCCATCTCCAGGCGCCTCGCGGCCTTCACCCGCGTGGGGTCCAGCGGGAGGCCGGTGAGGTCGTCGTAGAACTCGGCCCTCAGCGTGTCGCGCCACTTCCCGACGAAGTCCTTCAGGCTGATCTCCTCATCGCCCACGTTCGGCCCAGAATCCAGGGCCGAAAGCGTGAGCACCTTCTCGTTGCTCAGGTGACGGCGGAGGCCACGGAGGATGGCGCGGAGGAGCTTGACCGGGTACCTCTCCGCCACACGCATGTTGCGGCCGACGAAGGTGGAATGCTCGTGGCGGCTGCCAATGCCAGTATCATTGGGGCAGCGCTTGCAGACCTCATCCAACACCTCCTTGTTATTACTCATCCACCCTGTCGGCTTCTTGGCGAGCCTGTCGCCGCGCGCGTCCGCAACCACCAGGCCGAACACGCGCTGGTCGCCTCGCCCGACCTCGACACCCGGGAGAGCCATCACATCCTTCACGATGTCCAGGTCCCAGCTGTCCGCGCTCCAGGGGTGCTCGTGCAAGAACGTGCGGTCGTGCTTCACCTGCAGCGTGTAGAGCTCCATCACGAACCTCAAGTGCTCGTACCCGATGGCGTAGGCCTCACGCTGCTTCTCCGGGTCCTCATTCAGGTACTTCAGCATGGAGAACGGCGCGCAGCGAGGACTGCCCAAGAGGAAGTACACCTCGAAGTGCTCGATCAGCTCCCGGCACTGTCGCTGCTGCTGGCGGTCGGTCAGGTCCCAGCCAACCCTCAGGTCGAACGAGCCGCCGTGAACCAGACCGAAGAGGGGGGCAAAGCCCACAAGCCTATTCGGGCAGAAGACCTCCATCACGTCGGCCTTGCGCCCGCTGTAGCCGAGAGAGAGCAGGAGGGCACCGATCTCCTCCTGCATGTTGTCGTCGCCGGGGTCGTGTGGTGCCGGAGCCATCGCCACGTCAGCCGCCGCCGCGGCCTCGGGTGCTGGCGGCACCTGCTGAGCTGGGGCTGGACCGCCGCTGCCTGACGAGCCGCCCTCTTGATAGACAGGCCCGGCGACGTCAGTGCGATGCCGCTTCCGCTCACGGGCATCCTCGAGCCTCTGCTTTGCCTCCTCGTCGTCCTGCATCGCCTGCTCGATCCGAGCGCGGCACTCGGCTGAGTGAGCCTGCGCCCGGGCGCCGTTGAGGATCGCGGCGCAGCCGTAGCAGCCCGGGGAGAGCCCGTACTTCGCGATCTCGACGTCCTTCCTGATGTAGACGGCCCGCGGTCCTGCTGGTGGTCGCCCGACTCGGAGAGCCCGGGGCGGGAGGTCCCCAGCCTCGGGGACGGGCGCCAGATGTCCGCCCAAAGGCGCGACCGGCGCTGGCACCGGCGCTCGGATCTCGATGGCCACCGGCACCTCGTCCACCTCCACGTCCGTCGGCACCGGCGCCCACGGCTTCCCCACGAGGCTGTTCAGCAGGTCCTTGTCGGCCCGCTGCTCGACCGTCAACCGCTTGAAGGCCCTGGCCCGTAGCACGCCAAACTCCGTGCCAATGTAGACCTCGTCCTTCCGAAGCGTGTGCCCCAGGTAGAGCCCAGCGAGGAACTTGTCCTCGATCCCAGCCTTGCGCTTGCCCCCTGGGAGATACAGGACCTTCTCCGAGAAGCAAGCCAGGCCCTTGTTGAAGGGGCGGCCGTGCCGAAGTTCCCAAGCCGTGCGGCCGTCAGCGCCCCGCCTGCCCAGGTTGATGGACATGGCTGCGAACTCGACCATCCGCGGGGTCACTGGGTGCTCGACGCCAATGCTCACGCCGTGGAGGTCGTCCACCTGCGCCCGCGCCGTCCTCACCTTGGCCTTGACCTCGCGCACCGCGTGCTCGGCCAGGCCGTTGCCCTGAGAGTCGCCGGCCGCGCTCTCCTCGGGCACCGTCTCGACGCCGTGCTCCTCCTTGAGCTTGGCCCCGGTGCGGGTCTTCAGGGCGACGAGCGGCGCCTCGCCGTCTGAGCGGAAGACGAAGCGCTTGTGGCCAGCCGAAGCCAGCCTCCTGGACCACGACTTTGCCGGCCAGGGACGCTGCGTCCCCTTAGCTGGCACCACCGACGCGTGGAACCAACGCTGCTTCGAATCTTTCCCGATCAGCAGCGGCGTAGCGTCCTCTCGTTCACCGAGGTATCCGTAGTCGATGCCAACCACCGCGAGCGCTGACTCCTGGTGGCCCTTCGTCTGATGGCCTGCTGACAGGCCTCTGCCGGAGACGCACTCCCGGCACCATGCCCTGTAGGGCTCGTGCAGCACCTCGCGCGCGGCTCGCTCGGCCGCCGTCGGCGCTGCGGGCCCCCTCGCCGGCCGTGCCGGCGGGCCCTCGGCGACCTCCTCGTGAGCCGCGCCTGGCTGGCCGGCTTCGCCCTCGGGAGGCTCGTGGCCTGCCACCTCGACCGGGCAGACCTACGGCACGCACGGATCGCCCCCACGAGGATCTTCTCGCCCTCGTCGTTCACGTAGTGGCCAGAGGCGGTCTTGTACGAGATCGCCTGGCCGCCCTCGTGCACCGGGTAGTCCGTGCACGAGCCACGCGGCAGCACCGATGCCGCCGCACACGAGTCGATGCCCACACGCAAGATGCCGTTGAGCTCGACCTCCTCCGCATCCGAGTTGCCGTGGATCATGTTCAGGTCCAGGGCCGCGCCGGTCGCAAAGTCGACCACGTCCGCCTTGTCCGGCCCCGGGTCGTAGATGCTGAGGGAGTGGAGGTTCGCGAACGGGTAGCTGACCTGCTCGCCCGCGTCGTTCAGGTAGAGCGCTGCGACCTGTCGAGAGCTCGCGCCGGACATCGCCGTCGCCGGACTCAGCCTCGTAGTCGCAGCCGTCGAGATAGAGCTGGCCGCCGATGGTACGGTCGTATTCGTCGACTGGGAGGCGTTGATGCGAGCCAGCGTCTGCTCCATGCTCGCCAACGTCCCCCTGTGCTTGCTCGGGCATTCACGCTGAGTGCGGCCGCGACCGCCGCAGCCCCAGCAGAGTGGCCCGAGCTGCTGACCATGCGACTTGCTGCTGGTCTTGCTCTTGCCGTCGGACTTGGACTTGCCCTTGCTGTCGCCCTTGCTCTTGCCCTTGCCACTGGACTTGCTCTTGCCCTTGCCGTCGCCCTTGAACCTGCCCTTGCCGTCACCCTTGGTGAACGCGCTCAGGTCCATGGGCACGGGCACCGGGGCGATGGCGCTCTGGGCACGGCGGATGTCGGTGACCTCACGTCGGAAGTCCTGCCACTCCACCAGCCTGGTCGCATTGAGCAAGAGGTGCTGGCGTAGAGGGCCTTCCTCGGCTGCCGAAGGACGATGCCGATCCTCATGGAGGCTGCGATGGCCTCGCCGCTCCTCTGCTCGTACCTGAGGAGCTCTCGCTCGAACAGCGCCAGCCGGTCCTCGACATCGCCAGTGAACGAGAAGTTCAGGAGATTCAGCAGCTGCCCCGCGATGCGGGACCTCGCATTCGGTTCGTAGTATTCAACCAGCTTGCGCCAAGCCTGGAAGCCCTCATTCTCGCCAGCATTCACGATCGTCGTCAGGGGATGCTGCCGGCAGAGGAGGAGCAAGATGTAATACAGCTGCTGCGAGGCCTGCCTCATGTTCTCCTCGAGGAAGTCATCGTTCTGATCTGAGGCCTCGTCAGCGCTCTCTGCCAGTCGCATCCCTGCCAGCAAGTCGGCGTTCACGACGCTACAGTACGCCTTGAAGATCACCTTCCAATCGTTCCACTTGTGCTCTTCGCCCGTGAAAACGTCTGGCTTGCCCAGCGTGCGGGTGTCCACGAGCGACTCGGCTCGAGGCTGCGGCACAGGCCCGTCCACCCGTGGTCTAGCCTCGGCCACACGGCCGAGCCGCTGCACCTCGGCCGTGAGATCGTTCTCCCTCTGCTGGCGGTTCTGCAGCTCCTGGGCCAGCGCTATCATCTGCTGCTCTAGAGCCTGCACGCGCTCCTCCGCCATCTCAGCGGCGGTTCGCGCGCAGCTTCGTGAAATCCTTCAGGTGCTGGCCCAGCGCTGCCCAGGTCCTCCTCGGCCTGAACAGCTTGCGTAGCTGCTTCGCCACTCTCCTCCAGCCTCGATGGACCTCGACGAGCTCCGACTCGTCGCCCTCGCTGGAGCTGGGCCCGGCAGGCCCTGCTGCGGCTCCCGCACCGGCGGCCGGCCCCAGGCCGCTGGGGCTCCCCGCGCCGCTGGCGGGAGAGGGAGCCGCGGAGCCCGACCCTGTGGACTGGGAGGGTCGGGACCACGGCTCCGCTACCATGGCGAGATCTTTTCTTCGGATGCTTGCCTTGAGCCATACCAGCAATGGCATGATCTCTGTCAGTAAACCTGCTGGGGGTCTCTGGATTCCTGCAATTGATGAGACAAGGCGGTTGCCCAGACATTCGCGGAGCCGAGCCAATTGAAGATTTTGTTGGGAATCGCGATGCGGCCTTGCATGATAGACTAGGTGCCACCCCGCAAACATTTCCGCAACCTGGAGTTCCCACGCAGTGGCTGGAATAAAAGAAGACTGGCGGGAGCCTTTCCTGTCGTCTGGGCTGGTACATGTTACGTGGCATCAGCATCTGCAACTCCCTTCGATGACGAGAAGCTCGATGGGGCTTCCTTTTACGAAAGTAGTTGTCTGTCCTACGGGAAATCTGCAGCAGCCTTGATGGCTGAGATATACTTGACATATGTTTCTGGTAAAACTGGCACTCTTCGTCTTCACCTGCACTCGAACGTCCCCGATCATAGTTCCGGTACCTTGCATGAGCCTGTTTGTTTTCGTATGCTGGGCAAGCCATGCTGTGGAGCTATAAACGCAAGAAGTCACCCGTGAAAATGCTGCAACGCACAAGCTGCCAACCAGCAGTAGACCCAAGCTTCAGAGATATCGACAACGACGCAACCTGCTCTGCACTGTCAGACCCGTAGCATGTTTCATCTGGGACGCATTGCCTGGAATGGGAACCCCGAGATTTCTCGGGGGTGACATCATACATTTCACTTGGGATTTTATTCTGGGCATGGCCATCCCACCGATAGCCGGTGTATGCGTGGGCATGGGCTCAGTGACCGAATCTCCCGGAACAGGTAGGACTGGTCATGGTCCCTCCCCGACATGCTCGGCTGCTGATGCACTACGTCTAGCCTCCATCCATGCAGTAGATAACCGATCGCTGGGACTGTCTACTGAGTAATCATGCGATCTCTCATGGTGAGCCCAGCTGTCGCGCAAGTATAGCACAAAACACCAGTGATACTGATGGTGACGAAATTCAAAGAACACCCGCGGCGCCGCGATCAATCACTCAGTCCTTGAGAAGTGCATGGCGGCAGGGGCAGTTTTGGGTTGATAGGGACCAATGTCTGTAAAAAGCACGGGCACTTAAACAGACACTCGTTTCACGGAGGGAAGCGACCCCTCGTCCCCCACTCCTGGGCGACGCCATGGCACCGCGTCCGGTCGGGGACCAGGCGGGGAAACAAGAAAGAGGTACGTCCCTCGACAGCGGCGCCGCCAACCAGAGCCCCGACGCCAGCTGACGCCGCAAGCCCGCAGCCTCCTCCTTCTCCTCTTCCGCCTCATCATCCCTCCCCGTTTCCCCCTCCTCATCCTTTCCCTCTTCCTCGTCCTTCTCCTCCTCCCTCCTCCTCCTCCTCCTCCTCCTCCTCCCCCTGCTCCTCCTCCTCATCTTCTCCCAACTCTCCCTTTTCCTCGTCCATCCCCCCTCCTCCCCCTCTTGCTCCTGCTGCTCATTCCACCTCCTCCTCCACGTCCCTTTCCTCCTCCCCACTCCTCCTCCACCTCCTCCTCCTCCCCCTCCACCTCCTCCACCTCCTCGTCATCATCATCATCATCATCATCATCATCATCATCATCATCATCATCATCATCATCATCGTCATCATCATCATCATCATCATCATCATCATCAGCATCATCAGCATCATCAGCATCATCGTGAGCATCAGCATCATCATGAGCATCAGCATCAGCATCATCATCATCATCATCAGCATCATCATAATCACCATCGCCATCATCATAATCATCATCGTCTTCCTAATCACCACCACAACCACCACCACCATCATCATCATCAGCATCATCAGCATCGTCATCATCGTCATCATCGTCATGATCAGCATCGCAACCATCATCATCATCATCATCATCATCATCATCATCATTATCAGCGTCATCGTCGTCATCATCATCTTCACCACCTCATCATCATTATCATCATCATCATAATCATCACCATCATCATCATCATCATCATCATCATCATCATCATCATCGGCAGCATCATCATCGCCATCAGCATCATGATGATGTTCATCATCATCATCATCATCATCATCATCATCATCATCATCATCATCATCATTATCATTATCAGTGCCATCACCATCAGCATCGTCATCAGCACCATCATCATCATCATCATCATCATCATCATCATCATCCCTTTCCTCCTCCTTCTCCTCATCATCATCACCATCAGCAATAACAACATCATCTTCGTCGTCACTGGCACCATCATCATAATCATCATCAGTGTCACCATCCTCATTATCGCCACCGGAGTCGTCCGCGCCGCATATACTATAATTGGAGCATCATCATCGTTGCCGTCATGATGCTCAGCCTCAGTATCACCGTCATGTGCAGCATCGTCGTCATCATCATCATCATCATCATCATCATCATCATCATGATCATTGCCGTCACTATACCACCATCATCGACGACAATAGCATCATCATCAGCAGCAGCATCGCAATCATCATCATCAGCATCATCAGCATCATCGTGAGCATCAGCATCATCATGAGCATCAGCATCAGCATCTTCATCATCAGCATCATCATTATAATCATCATCGTCATCATCCTAATCATCATCGTCGTCCTAATCACCACCACAACCACCACCACCACTATCATCATCATCATCATCATCAGCATCATCATCGTCATCATCATTATCATCACCATCAGCATCATCATCAGCACCATCATCATCATCATCATCATCATCGTCTCTACCCTCCACCTCCTCCTTCTCATCATCACCATCACCATCACCATCAGCAACAACAACAACATCATCTTCGTCGTCACTGGCACCATCATCATAATCATTATCAATATCATCATCATCATCATCATCATCATCATCATCATCATCATAATCATTGTGGCTGGAGTCGTCCGCGCCACATATACTACTGCAATTGAAGCATCGTCATCGTTGCCGTCATGATGCCCAGCCTCAGTATCATAATCATGTGCAGCATCATCGTTATCATCATCATAATCATTGTTGTCACCACCACCATCATCGACGACAATAGCATCATCAGAATCATCACGCGCATCATCATCAGCATCATCAGCATCATCATCAGAAGCAGCATCATCAGCATCATCATGGTCATCACCATGACCATCATAATCATCATCATTACCATCATCATCTTCATCGTCATCATCATCGTCATAATCATCATCATAATCATCATCGCCATCGTCATCTACATATTCGTGATCACCGTCAGCATCATCATCATCAACATCATCACCATCGTCATTGTCATCAGCATAAGCATCAACATCACCATCATCATCAGCATCGTTGTCATAACCAGCATCATCATCCTGCTTGTCATCATCATCATCATCATCGTCATCATCATCGTCATCATCATCAGCATCGCCATCGTCATTGGCATCGGTATCGTCATCATCATCACCATCACCATCGCTATCGCCAGTATCAGCAGCATCATCACCATCAGCAGCATCCTCATATCGGTACATCTATCCATCCATACATCCTACTCCCCCTCCTCCCCCCTTTTGCTCATCCTCCCTCCCACACTCCTCCTCATCATCATCTTCCTCCCTTCCTTTCTTTTCCGCCTTCTCCTCCTCATCCTCCTCATCCCTGGTGTTTGGCAAGGCGCAAAGACTCCCCCCCCTCTAGCGCCCCCGGCCTCGACGCCCAGACCGGGTGCGGTAGCGCCCGGAACTCCACCGAGGAGGGGTCGCCTCGCCGGGCTTTGCTGGGGCAGTACTCTGGCGTCGTAAAAACATCTTGGCGAAGGACCCAGCCGTATGCGGGTGAGGGTACCGCAAGGCAGCTGGGACGAAAGAGGGACAGATCCATACGGTGCCACGAAACATGTGAGGGGTGTGCAGAAATGGGCGAGGCGGCGCCATTCGAACCCTATCGCTGGGTCCCTCGGTGGAGCTCCCTATGGGGTCACGGAAAATGTGAGGGGTGTGCTTACATGGCCGCGGTGGCGCCATGCGAACCCTGCCACAGGGGCCATCGGTGGCATTCCCGACGGGGCCACGAAACGTCCGAGGGGTGTGACAATATGGACGCGGTGGCGCCCTGCGAAACCTGCAGCTGGGTCCTTCGGGGGAGCTCCTGTGTGAAGGGGTGTACCTACATGGGCGCGGCGGCGCCCTGCGAACCCTCCAGCTGGGGGAGCTCCATATGGGGCCACGAGACGTGTATGCCGAAAAGGGCGCGATGGCGCCATGCAAATCCTGCACCTGGGGCCTTCGGTGGAGCTCCCTATGGGGCCACGAACCGTGATAGGGTTGTGTCCACATGGGTGCAGTGGCGCCACGCGCACACTGCAACTTGGGCCTTCCCTCAAGTTCCCTGTGCGGTGAAGAAGCGTGTGAAGGGGTGTGACGATATGGGCGTGGTGGTGCCATGCGAACCCTGCCACTGGGGCCATCGGTGGAGTTCCCCGTGAAAGCACGAAACATGCGATGGGTGTGCCGAAATGGCCGCGGTGGCGCCATACGAACGCTACCACTGGGGCCTTCGGCGGATGGAGCCATGAAGCTTGTGAGGAATGTGCCGGGATCTGCGCGGTGGCGACACGCGACCCTTGCCACTGCGCCATTCGGTGGATGTCCTTATGGGGCCACGAAGCGTGTGATGGATGCGAACGTTAATGGCCATGGCGCAAATAAAGTTAATGATGATGATGCTGCTGATGGTGATGATGACATTGAGAATGACGGTGGCGATGATGAGGATGGTGTTGATGATGATTGCGGTGGCGATGGTGACGAACGCGATGATGAGGACGACGGCAACAAAGATGGGGGTGCTGGTGATGGTGGCGGTGGGCACGGAGACGATCGTAATATTTTATAGTGGTGTTGGTGGTGTTGGTGATGATGATGATGATGATGATGGCGATTATGACGATGAGCATGAAGATGGCGATGAGCATGAAGGTCATGGTGGTCAGACTGTCACTTGTAATGAAAACGGTGGATGTTCTTTCCCTGCGGACCGATGGCGATGGGCCGGGTGGCACTTGATGAAGTCTAACAACTGCACGCAAGCGAATTCGCCAGAATGTCTGGTAAGCAATGCAGTTTGCGGCGCGCGCAAACGAACCACCCCTCACGGGCCGACGCCAAGAGAGGGAAGCAAAGCAGCGCCGCAGGGAGGCGAAGGAGGGCGGCCGATCGCACGATCAGGCCTCGACAAAAAAACTTGCCACGGAACGAACTGCAAGATGGACAGGGGCAAGCGACCGTGGCAGCTTCGCAAGGAGCCTCGCACTTGCCCCGACCTCGCGCTCGGAAGGGTAGAAAGAGCGGGCGACAGCGAACGGGGATATTCAGCATAGTCGCAGTCTGCCGAGCTGCAGTACGCCTACAGTTGCTCTCCACCGAGCACACCCAGGAGCTCTCGGCGACGCTGAGCCCCACAGACTAAACGCGACTAAACTCCGACGATAACGAGAGCACGCAGGGAAAGCGGCGGGCAAACTCGCACTGAACTGCAACTCCATCGAGAGAAGCAGAGCAGCAAGCGAGCGAAAGAGCCAGAGACGCGAAAGAGGCGGCGGCACTACAACAACTGAGCTATCTCGGATGACCCCGAAGACTGCACGGCTACACGAGTGAGAGGGTGGCGCTGCATGAGCAGACGGGGGCGGCCCTCAACAACTTGCTCAGCAGCGGCGCTCGCAGTCGCAGGTCGACTACGGCACTGCGAACGTGCAAGAACAAAGCCATCGGCAAAGGCACGCCGAGCAACGTCGCGCCCAGCGTCGAGGGCGGCCCCATCGACGCAGCGGAGGACGGGGAAGGGGGCGGGGCGAAGCCGCGAGGGAAGGCGCACGGGCGAGGCGAGGCGAGGCGAGGCGAGGCGCCGGTCAGACGTCCCAGGGGGACGGCCCTACAAGAGCCCGGCGGTGGCACCGGAGCGCCGAGAAAAACGAGTATGCCACCGCTCTTGCTGCTAGCCCTGCTTGGTCAAGCTCCTGTGAGCCCGCGAAAGCGCACGGGGCCCGGGTGGAAAACAGAGCACGACGATGTGGACAGCGCATGCAACGGCGCTGATGGCCTCTGCCATGCCCACAGCCAAACAGGCACGGTCTGGGAAGGGCGCGGAATCTCGCAGGGGCCTAAAGGCGCCGGCAGAAGACCTGCAAACCCGCCACAGCTAAGAGCACTGGAACAGAGCGAGCGGCAAGCGGCCCACACTCGAATTTGGGAAACGGGGACCTGCGCGCCAGGGGGCCGAGGAAGGGGAAGCAGCTGCAGCACTCGGTCGGGGACAGATGTCGCGCAAGGTCTCTCCGAGCCCCCGCGGCGTTTTCACGAGTTGTGCTTGCGACGCTGCCGCGGGGTCAGCAGCGATATGACTGGCGATCGGCAAGTGTTCTGCCAATGCCTCAGACATATACGACAGGAAAGAGTTCAGAAACCACCCTTGCGCTAGACGTGGCGGCGTGACCTCAGCAGAGCTGGCGCGAATAGCCGCAAGGGCAATATTGTAGTCTTGCCAGGTGGGAGACCCATAAGCAGTCCGACACTCCGACGCTTTCGCAAGATGCCTGATCGACGCGCAGCGCGCATTACACACTGCACCGCCCAAGAGGCGCATCAGATTACTGCTAAAGCTGTAGCGAAGGACAGCGCGAATGATCTGGGGGGCACGACCTTCTCACCGATGGATGTGGACAGTCGGCCGATGGAGCTGGAGCGCGCGCCCGAGCACAGATGCGGCGCACACGTTGTAGGCGACTATAAAATCAGCCAAGCCCGCGCCCGCGCCGCGGACCTCACGAGCACGAAGAGATACTTGTCGCACTGTCGAAGAGCAGCGGCAATCCGCCTCAGAACCCACAGAGACATCCAAGTATCTGCACCATCGAACGCCTGAAAAGTTCACAACCTCCGTCTAGGGATCCCAGGAAATCAATGAACTGCCAACACAACCTTTACCATGGAGCAGCTTTAGACCGATGGCACCCGCGCGGAGGCAGGGCCCCTCGAGGACGGGGAGCAAATCAGCGAACAAGTTCGCCAAACAGACCCTGGAGTCATCTGCAGATCGCGACAGGCCGAACCCAGGAGGGCCCGATGCCTGGAGCCACCGACAGGCTGGGTCCAGGGCAAGGCAAACGGGAGCACCGACGCTGGACAGCCTTGGCGGGGCCCCCGACCCACGCGAAAGGATGGCAAGATACCCCCGCAGAAATGCACCATGGCAATACTCCCTCCGCAATGGGTTTCTCACGGGCCAGAACGGAATCCCCATCGCGTCCGAAACGAACGGCGCCCACTCGATGAACAGGCTGGGAAACGCGACCTCGAAGTCAGCAAAGAATCGGGCCAAATCACCATGGCCCGCCAGATGGGCAAGCACCCCAGTCAGCATCACAGGCAATGATATTGCCATGGGTCGACCGTCCAGGAACGCCCCCGCGCTTCAAAAAGCGAACCGACTGAATGGGCGCCACCTCCGGTCAGAGGGCACGCGACGGCGGCAGAAACCAACGCACAGTCGGCGCACCCCATAGACACAGGGCAAGCGGGGGAAGGCCCGCGCGCGGGCACGGCAGCCACGCCAAAACACCATAGGGAATTCATGGCAATCGCCAGGGAAGGGGGCGCGAGAGCGGGAGGCGCAATGGCAATAGAGCTCACGCAGAATGTCTCGCGCACAGGCGCGCGCCCAACAGCCGCGAGACAAACCGTCGACCCCCGGCGTGGAATCCTCAAATACTTCCACGAGATCAGTAAACACACCACGGGCCAACTTCCGCTCGAGGGCAGGCGCGACACCATCAGCGCGCTGGGCGCGCGGAAGCAGAGCGCCCCGCGACGCCCGCGGGAATGTCACCGAGCCCAACAAGCTTGTTAAGGCCACGCCACCGCTCGCGATGACGTTGCGCACGTGCGCGCTCGCGTGCAAGTTCGCGCTCGATGATATTACTGGCCCGCTGCAAGGCCTCTGCCGCGTCGCCGAGTAACGGGTTACTCAACCGTGCAACGTGCGCGCACAAACCAGTAGGGTCAGCAAGCGTTCCAGCGCCCGCGCCCAAGGAGGACATGCGGTGAGGGCATGCACGGCCATCGCGAACATCATACTGAACATTGGTGCGATATCCACGCAGAGCGGCAACTCACCAATGCAAGTCCTCGGGTTGCGTCCGAGCCCCTCGAACCGGCGACCCTTTGCGAAGCTCAGCATGGGCCTCGCGCGCTGCCACGTCGGCACAAGCTGCGCGCTGCTCGATCGGGGGTCACGAGCCCAAAGCCGCGATCTCATCAGAGAGCGGGCCCCCGAACACTTATGCACGAGTGGCGCGAAGCCCGGAGAAGAGCCGGCGGAGAGACGAGACTTAGGGGCAATTGTCACCACTGCAAGAACGTGATAGGATGGGTTCTTCAGATTGGCAGGCACGCCTATCGTCGAACCCGCGACAACCACGTCCACCAAGACTGCTAGGGGATGTCAACACGCGCGCGACCCAAGCGAACAGTAGAGACAACATCGGGGCCGTGGCCAGCACGACGGGCACCCCGCGGCATGCGCAACTCAATCCAGTCGCCGAAGCATGAGACCCATTCGCGAGATAATGAAGTTTTCCCACGGCTAGCGACTCCCATCTCAAGATTAAGCTTACCTTCATCACTTGGCACAAAGTTGAAGTCGTAGGGCAAGATGCGATATGCCGCAGAGGACGGCAAAAGAGCGGAGCGAACAGCAGAGAAAC